TGGAAGATCACCAAACTGTACTTGAGTTTCTTGAACTCTAGCCCCGTTGATGGTGTTCTCGTTACCCGCAGCAACATTGGAGCCAACATCAGCAACGTTAGTTACATTAGCAGCAACGTTGGACATATTAGCGGTTTTGTTTGTCATTTTTTCTGAAAAACAGAAACACAAATTTTGTATCAGAAACGAATTATTTTGAAGCACAAAATAAAATCGTAATGACTTCTCTCAAATACAGTTTAAGAATCGCAATTCAGAAATAGTAATCGAAATAGAGAATTATCAATGAATAAGCGTTCACAAACGTTTAAACTGATGAAATTCCTCCCGAACAGAAAACAATTTAGCGAGAACGTTTGTGAGACAATCGCAAAACAAGCTTTTCTGTAAGAAACGTTTCTTTTATCACAATCCAATCCGCCTGATGTTTATATAACAACAGCTGGATTTCAAAGGGTTAAGAATGTAGGACCAAAATATGGAACACTTTGTGACCTTATGTGAGAATAACTACGATAATAGAACCGTTAAGGGAAGAGACAGAAAGCGGAGGCGAGACGAATCTCTTTCCTTAGCCCTTTGAATCTCCCGCAGTGTCACGAGTTTAATAGATTCTAGGATCCCAGGATATAACCACTGACAATCGTATTTGGCGACACTCGAACTACGATTCTATCGAACTATTTCTACGATACTCTCGAATAAGAGACTTACAGTAAATAAAGAAGGAGATTGTTTACGTTTTTCGTTCTAATATTGATATCAGAGCAGTTTTCAATGAGAGAGAATTGCTAGTATTTATAGCGAGAGGGAGGAGCTGAGGATTCTGGAAGCGTGCCCGAAAATCTGGAAAGCGAAGCGTGCCCAAAAATCCGGAAAAAGTAGCGTGCCCGAAAATCCGGAGAGCGTGTCGGGTGTCGGTAAGGGACGCGTGTCCGAAAATCCGGAGAGCATCTTTGACTATTAAGTCAGTTCTTTTAAAAAATAAAACTGATTAAAATCTTATCCCAAAACAAATTCGCCTAAACAAGCATCGTTTTATTTCCGGCGAAAATGGTCCAAAAGGATAGAAATCGGCTCGACGAGGCATTCCCAAGAGCCCACGCTCCGCTCCGCTCGGTGCGCGTGTGATTTTCCTTTTTCTCCTCCATGGTGCATTGTGTGTTCTTGTTGTTTTGAACACTGCATGCTCTTATTTATATAACACCAAAATGTTTCCAACTTTAGATGTGGAACATTTTAAGTGTGCATTCATTAAATGAGTTTTAAGGTTTTCTCACTCTTAGAGCCCAAAACACACTCATTTCTCATTCAACATTTATAACCCATTTAAACCAAACCAATTGCCAAACATACATGGCCAATTGATTTAAAAATGGTTCCAACAATATATAGCATGTTTAAGCTTAGCATCTAATGTATAAAAGCTTTCCTCACACTTTGTCTAGGTACTGACTCTGCTGCAATGTATATTCATTTCAAAAGCTCCCTTGACTGATGTTTTCTTGAACAAGCAAATCCCACAAGGTGGGACAAATTTATGAAAGGCTAAGTCCATGTATGGATATAGAAGAAGAAGCTGAAACAGAAAAAGTATTGACTTTGAGTGCGGTCATTAGGAAGCAAGATATGAAGATTTTATTTGTTGACTGTGGAGACGACTTTGTTGAGCTGCTCTTCTCTTTTCTTGCGCTCCCATTGGAATCTGTATGGGAAATATCTGGCAACAATATCAGTTTAGGTTGCAGTGCAAACTTTTGCAGAAGCTTCAAAGACTTGAGTGGAACAAAATCGCCAGCTTCCGAATGTGTGCTCCCTCGTTTTTATAGTTTCAAAGTGCAGTTGCCTGGTATCATCACTCTCCAACCACCGGTTTACTACCGCTACAAATATTCTCCTTACAACAAAATATATGCTTTGACTAAAGACTCCAATCAGCTTCCTCATTACTGCGATGACAAAGTTGTGCCTGTAACTTTGCTGGATCCAAAATCCAATGGAAACAATCAGTCAAGTCATGGTGGTGGGTTCTTGAAGAAAGAGACAAAGTTTACAGTATCGGACGATCTGATCATTACACCGATGAACTCATGCTCAACTGTTTGTTTACTGAAGAAGTTGGAGATTAATGCAGAAGATCTTGAAGTTCAAGAGATTAGCATCAGCAAAGCGGAG